TTTGTACATAGTAACTCTATGAAGTTACTAACTTTAAAAACTACCAATAAAGATATAAGCAAGGCCTCATCTTAATACCAAAAAAAAAATAAAGAAAGATGATATTATTTTTTTTTTAAATATTAGTGGTGAGACCATGTCTTTAACTTTATTGAAATTCAATTAAAGTTTTTATAAAGGAAAGCTTACTTTTAAATTACATATGAAGAATAAAAACTCAGACATATAATCTGCGACCTAAACCTAAAGATGATATTAATATTATTTTATAAAATAATATTTTGATATTATCATAATAAGATATAAAGAAGAGAACTTTAATAAGATTAAGAAAATAAAAGTATAATAGAATGTTTATTATAATAAGATAATATAGATTTTATCTGAAAGTTCAGAAGAGATGTTTAATTATTAAGTAATATTTGAAATTAAAGTTTGAAGGATTTGTTGAAGATTATATTTTTATTTAAGACATATAAGAAGATGTGATATATCTTTAAGAGTTTAATAATAGATACAATTTAAAGTAGTATATAAGAACAGATATTATAGATTAAGATTTTACATAGAAAGTAAATTGTTATTAATAATTTTAAGGTAAAATGTATAGAATTTTTAATTATTATTTAAAGAATTAATAATGTTAACATTTGTTGATCATTTAATAGAGAATGGGTTTTAAAAAGATTTGAGAAAAAAATTTTATTAGTAATATATTTTATAGTTATTATATAAAATTTTTTTTGTAACTAATTATATATAGAAATAATCTATATTGTACTCTACTTTTAAATAAAAATTACTTAACACTTATCTAATAAAACTTGATTAAATTTTTTTTTAATTCTATAATCTTATATTATTAAAATAAATTTTGATTAAATTTGATTAAATAAGTGTTAAGTAATCTTTGTTTAAAGTTTAAATATTATAAAAAAAATTATAGTTAAATTTTTTTTTGACTTTTATAAATATTTCTTGATAACTAACTATCTGAATTTGATGAATTTTTTTTATTTTAATTCTTTGAGTTCATAGAATTAAAGAAAAAAAAATTTCATCGAATTTGAATATCTGGTTATCAAGAAATCTTTATTTAAAGTTCAAAAAAAGAAAATTTCTAATTTTGGTTTTTTTTTTCTAAGATATTTTAAAAATTTCAAAACTTATAGTAAGGATTTTTCGATAACCTTTTTTTATTTCAATTCTACAAATGTATTGAATCAAAGTAAAAAATTTTACCGAATTTAATCATTTAGTTGGTGAGAAATCTTCGCTTTAAGTTTAAAGAAATTCAAAATTTTAAAACCGATTTTCAATTTAGTTGATTCTGATTGGTGAATATTGGACTCCCGGAATCAGATCGGAAAGAATCTACAGCCCGGAATTTTCTTGACATAAGGACACCTCATATGCAGAAGTTCGTCGGATTGGCTAATAAATTCAATTTAATTTTACATTATTTATACAGTTTAGAGTACTTTTTAAAAAAAGGAAACCTAATCATAATGAAATAAAAAAAACCTTATAGAAAGTTTCATTAGAGCTGTAGGACTTCATAGTCAAAAATAAGATCTAATTTTCGTCCGTTTAAAAAAATTAGCCTAGTAATAAGTTGATTTTATCGGGCTTTAAGAAGTTATTACTATACTAACTTTTTAAACGGACGAGAATTAGATCTTATTTTTGTCTATGGAGTCCTACAGCTCTAATGAAACCTTCTATACAGGTTTTTTTATTTTATTATGATTAGGTTTCGTTTTTTTAAAAAGTACTCTAAACTGTATAAATAATGTAAAATTAAATTGAATTTATTAGCCAGGACACCCGTTTTATATTCTAATTACAAAATTTTTGAATATATTGCATCTTGAAATTTGATAGACTGTTATACAAAATGGTTAAAAATATTCTTAAGGTAGCTGCTAGATCTTGTAACCAATCAGATACTCCTGGGATACTGTGCTCTTAAATGACTATTACAAAGATCAATATGTCCTACAAAGCACTACTTAACTGATTACTCTTTTTATATTGTCGGCTCATTACGTATGTAGCTAAATTTTAATCCCACGTAGTTATTATAGTATTATTTATTATTAATGATCTAACGATTGTCCCGCCCCAAACAATTGGTTTATACCCTAAAATTTTAGGTTCTTTAGAAATCCACCAATTTGAACCCAATATTAAACCTATCACTACTATAATAATTCCAGAATGAAAATGTGTAGGATTAAATATAATGATTAGGATTGTATAAAATTTACATTCATTAATTACCAATTACTAAATTTGGGTTTCATGTAATTAGTAACAAATTTTACCAGAATATCTCATTGACATGTTGGAATTCAACGTTTAATATACATCCTAATATATACAAATCATAATATATTAATAGAAAACAATGTGATTTATATTTATATATGAAAAGTACAATAATACAGGTTATAAACATATATATATTATATTCAGTATAGATATAATTTATTGTTATTCAATGAAACCTAATAGAAACACTATCAACTTAAGTCAAAATAAACGATTTATTATTAATCATGGTAATTGATTCAGAGAATGACAAATAATTAACATAAATACTTACAAATAATAAATAATAATTTACATATCATTTTTCTGGTACAGGTTTCAGCGGTGAATAAGCTGAATTTTCTTTAAACGCACTAGTTGCCGATTTTTTAAGTCGCTCTTCTACTTGCTGTTTTAAGAATGATTTTGTTTTATTTCCAGATCGCATTCTTAAAGTTCTAAGTATAACCTCTCCATGATCTTGACGATCATTTTTTTGACGTTTTTCACTTTTTCGTTTTTTAATCGTGCCAAGGTTTCGTTGATGAAGCACTGATTTACTCGCTTTAAGTTGACTTTTCTGAGAATCCAATGTATTAATAATTTGATTGTTAAGGTATTCCTGCATGAGTTGTTCCGTATCCAAATTATAAAATTTATCTATTTGACTGATTTCTTTATATTTTTGATTTTCGAGTATTTCAATTGACACACCATTCCCATCAGCGTGCAGATATTGTTTCAAAAACTATACCGTAAAAAAAATATATATTTTCGTAAATAAAATATATATATTTAGTGGATTAAAAATTAGTAAAGTACTACAATAAAAGGATTTCTATACCTGTAACCATTTTAATACAATCATGAGCTCATTATCAGAGAGTGGTTTTAAATCTGATGGTCGATCTGACAAAGGAGGTATTATAATTAATTCAATAATAGTAACAAGTTCTTTCCATATCCACCTCATAACTGCTTTGAACACCTCATAGTGCAAATTATTATGAAGTATCATCAAATTCTCATCAAAATAATCGAAAAGAGGGTCGATTGCTTCCTCAATATTGCGATCTGTAAGATCACGTTTTTTCGGTCCAAATAGTTCAGCAAAACCGACTGCTGGCTTTAGCAGTTTGTTGATTACATCTCGAGATAAGCATTGTTTAAAAAATGGCGACATCTTTAAAATAATTTCCAGGAATGAGTGTAAAAACTCAAGCACTAAAAAAAAAACAAAAAAAACAAAAAAAAAAAACTTACTCTATCGACAATTGTTCTCGTCATGTCGTCACGTGATCGTTTAAGGGTTCTAAATGCCTTACCAAAATAAAATCGAGGATCATCTTTCTCATCTTCCATACTAACACGTAACAAAACGCGACCTTGTGGATTAAGGTCGAGATGTACGTCATTGGGTCTAGAGTCAGTGAAATAACGACGATCTAAATAAATTTGTGCTTTTCCACAAACGTCATCCGAACCAACTTGGTCTTTATCCCAAACCGTGACGAGTAATTTTCGATAATCCTGGTCTTTAAACTCAAGAGTAATATCAAATGCTTCATTCCATTGTGGATTTAACGTTTCAAATATAACACGCGTCTGTGCCAAAATATGTCCCTTTTCATCTGTCAGAACACAATACGGGTCGCTAAGTCCATTAACATCCTGGGCCGTTAAATTTTCGGCCATTACAATTTTAATTGTATAAAGATATCTGTTCCTTATAATTTTTTCTGAAAGGGGCATTCTAGACTCTGATTCATTCATAATTCCCGACACATTATCAACATTCATAGAATCATATAATTTGTCCAGCTGTTCGCCTGCCGCTTCAATATTATTCATCTTAACGCAAGACTGTTGTGAAATTTAAATGCATGAGAATGTAGGTAATACATTGAATTCATACTTGAAATAACCGACAATTTCAATCACCTTTGGCTGGATGTCAGCTGGTGCAGCTTTCTCACTAGTAAGGGCATTTTTTGCTCTTAGATACCAAGCTGATTGTTTTGATGATTCTTGATCTGCATAAACAGCTGCCAAATCTTTCATAAAGAGGTCTTCCATAACCTTACAATACTGTTCCAATGCTTCACCAATGGTCTGAAAGAATAATGAAAATATTAACAAAAAATTTAAATTTATTAATACCAATTAGAATAAAACCTACTTGTGACAGACTTGTCATGAAACGGGCAGATTGATCTTGGTTGGGCCAATCAAGTCTTTTTACGAAATCAACAGTTTGATTAAATGATGTAAAAAGATCCACCACAGAAGAGGAATGTGTATCCGTACTGCTTACAGGTTTAAACTGAAAGCAAAAAAAAAAGTAATAGGTGCGTAAGAAATAGAAATAGTTCATACTACTAATCATTGAATTAAAGAAAAAAAAGACAAACAACCTCGTCCACACTAACTGCAGAACGGACCCATTCAGGAGTTTTCTTGTTCGTAGCTTCCAGCCATTTTTTGATATAAGGACCAAACCATTCTTCAATTCCGAAAGAAAATTTCGTACTGAAAGTTTCAAAATTAGCAACAAAGTTAAATTTAATTAAAAATAATAGAAAATGGGATTACTTATAATTTACCCAGGACAACGATTTTCAAATACATATTTTAGTTCCATTATCTCCCGATAAAGTTCAATGATATCGTCAACAGGAATTTCATCTTCGGATGTGGTTGTCATTTTTACTTTGACCATAATATCCGCTGCAGCACCTTCCATATCCAAAATCAAAAGTGGAGCTTGTTTTTCAATTACCAAACGAACGATGTCAAGTTGTCTAAGAACCAATAAATTATTTGAATTAAACCTCAAGCATAAAATAAAATTACTGTACATAATTCTTTTATAATTACTAACCCAACTAAAGGTTTAGGATACTTGTTGTTTAATTTGTCTATTTCTTGTAGTATCCATCGTGCAATAGAGGTAAACTTTTGTACCTCGTTTGAAGAAGCTTCTTTTTCGTATATTTTTCCTACCCCAGACCTATATTCGTCAAACGCCGCTTTCTTTTTTTTTTTTGAAAAAAAAAAAATTTAATGTTAGCAAAAGTATATATATATGTAGAAGTACTTAAAACCTGCAGATAATAAGCAACACAAACAACTCACTCTAACGCATTCTCGAAGATCGTTGTAAAAAGGAGACACATCCCGGTAGTGAGTATTGAATAATTCAGACTCGTATATCGCATTCAATAAAAATATTATAGGGTCGAATTCTGTAGGCTTAATCTTAAATACATGTTCTAGTGCTTCCTTCATGTAATTTAACAAAGTGTCATGAATCCCAGAAAAGACCTCCACATGTTCTCTTTTCTGTTACAGAAATAAGAAATGTGTTATTTTTACAAATAAACATGATACAACAAATAACAAAGCAGGACTAATTTTAAGCGAATAACAAACATCAGAAATAGTCCAAGTCGAAACATCTCTATGTTTTATTGCATCCTTTAACAAATGCATTCCTTCTTTAATGTGATCTAATTGTATTTGAGGATCTTCACTGTCAAAGCGAGACCTAATAACGTCCAGGTATTGCAACCATCGAAATGCTGGGGAAATTCTCCAACGCAGAGCACATTCATTGAGCAAGCCTATCACATCTTTTGAAAGAATTTTGATGGATTGATCTTCCGACGATCCATGTTGTAACTCATAATCTATGCATTTGTTCATTAAAAGCTTATAATAAATCCGAGCATTTTGTGGAATAAAAGTAAAGGAACTAGACTAGAATAAGATAATATGAGGTATGTTTTAAATTAAAGGTAGATTGACAATAAAATAACATAAAAATATACAGTATATAACAAACCTCAGTGGATAAAGGATCTTTTATGCTGTGTGAAGGCTGTGTTGATGGTTGATTATAAGGAGGATGTGACTGAGGTGGTTGATTGTAAGGAGAATGGGATTGAGGTGGTTGATTGTAAGGAGAATGGGATTGAGGTGGCTGATTATAAGGATACATAGGCCTTTGCTGGCCGTAGTTATAAGGATATTGAGGTCTCGCAGAATTATAGGGTGGATACGGTGGCTGCTGCTGATATGGTGGGTACTGAGGTTGATTATATGATTGATACGAAGTTTGATGAGGATGCTGAGGATTATAATGTGGATAGGATGGCTGGTAAGGTGGCTGTTGTTGTTGGTGACGTTGTGTGTCTTGTTCGGTGAAATTAGTTCGTTTGGGTGCAGATGATGGTTTATTCGGATCATTTGTCAAAAGTGTAGAAACATGATCAGTGGGATCTTTGGATAATACTTCAGGATTTGTTAAAGCCATGGTAGCCATAAGATCTCTGATCGTTTTTGTCTCAATGGATTTCCACTTCTCATAAGCATCATCTGTATCGAAATCTTCCCTGCGAGCAGGGAAGGGAGAACCACGATTAACGTGGTTTATGATATTTCGCAAATCTTCAAATGCTTTCTAAAAGAAAAATCAATAAAATAAATCATTGTACAATTATTAATTTGTAAAATGAATAGATATCTACCTGTACTGTACATTCTTTTTTCACGGAATTTAAGTCCTTTTGTATTTGACTAGAAGAAACTCTAAAAACTGACTTAACCACTTTCACCATATCCATATCTTCAATGCTCGTGCCTGAACCAGTGCTTGCAGTTCCTCCGCTTCCTCCACTAGTGGTGGGAGTACTAGACATTTTTGTTTGATAAATCTCTAACCTAGCCAATAAATCAGGTGTAGCAGGTGATTGACATTCCTTGGTTTGAAGACAATCTTTCAATATACCGACGAATAGACTAACGTGATCCGTAAGCTTAGATTGCCATGTAACATTCGGAGGTAATTGCGCTTTTTTGAGCTCAACTTGAGAAGTTCTGAGAAATATAAGTACAATATCTTCAATTTTACTATTACTTGATTTAAACTGTTGACGAAAACCAGATTGTTGTAAGGCTTGGTGGAAAATTTTAAGTTCCTTCATAAAATAAGGGTCTTGATAAGTTGGATCACGATCACGGCCATTAGTGATTTGCTCTAAACGGTCACGCAATACTTTGACCAATTCTTTTGGTATTTTGTGAGCTTTCTTTTCATCTTTGAACATATCAAAAGCATTAAATGCTAATTTCTCGGCGCCATAAAGACTAGAGCGCTTTAAACTAGCATTGTCGGAAGAGGGTTTAAGTTGTGCGGATGCAGAGACTGGTGCAGCTTTCGGAGCCTTTGAGGACTTTACCTCAGTTAGAAAAGCCAAATATGCAATACGAAGAGCATATTTATACACTGAATCTTCAGTGATAGTAGAGCCTAGACCACCACTCATTTTGAGGAACTTTTAGCAATAATTTGAACGATTTCTATAAGAAAATAAATAAATTGTTAATTAAAGATCACCAACATATCAAACATTCGCTCGTTTATTTTTAGCAACAACTAAATTGAGTTTACCGCTTGCGCTAAAACTGCATTTATTTACCTAAAAATAGAAGCATATTACCCAATTCATAAAGTCGTAATTTAGTGTTTTAAGCCACATGGTTTTAGTCAGCTAACGCTACTAACATTAGCACTAGTCACTTTGGTTAATTGGTTGTCAAAGGTGCTGAATGTATGCTGTTTTTATCTATTTGACTCTACTGAATAAAGCACTCCGCAAACAGAATGCTAGCAAAGTGCTGGCAATAACAACAATTAAACAACCGAAAATAATATGACTGTAAATTTTTGATACTTTGACTAGTGTAAGACATTAACCCAGTATCGCCACCAAAATCAAGTACACAACGCACCTGATTTTGATGGCGATACTAGGTCAGGGTTGATCGTCATGAAAATGGATCGTCGAGAAAATGATTGTCGAGAAAATGATTGTCGGGAACAAATATTGGAGAAATAATATGAACCAATGTCAGAATTGGGTGCGTTATCAGATACATCAAAATTTGAATGCATTATTGAATTCACAAAATATAAAGCATTATCTGATACTTATATCAGATGCTAAGCATCATAATTTTGCGAAATCTTTTTGTTCAGAATTTGCCATCTCGGTTGAAGTGATATAATCGAAAATTGGTTAAGAGGTAAACGCAATTAAAGGGTATAAAAATAGCAAATTTAATTCGGAAGTTAATATAATTTTTATGTAGGGTTAGAATGCAGCTAGTTTACAATAAAAAGTTTTTTTATGCTAAATAAACCTTCCTTGAGTTTCTAACAAATATTATAGAGCAAACTATTCAGGTTCTAATAGTGGTAAATTGAGTTAGTAGATCGCGAGTTATTGGCATTTTCTCCTTCATAACTATGCTTTTTTACATATTGTTAGATTTATACCCTTCAACTACGATCTACCACTTAATTTCTTTAATTTTATTATCTAGCTTCGCAATATTAATACGTTGTCTTTTCTGCTTTACATTCTATTTTTAGCAATATTATACGTAACGGAAAAATATATACGTATGCAAGCTTTATTAACATTCCAAATAAAGGATAATACGTACGTAAAATTTGTATATTTTGACTAGTCCAAAATTAGTTTTTTTGATAGAGAAAAAGTTGTACTACATATAAGTTAATTACCAACATTAATTTGAAACATACTATGTTATGCATTCTTGCGTCGGATCTAACCCGACTTACGTCAGATGATATAGGACAACTTTCTTAGGTCGATCTTATGAAATTGAATAACACATTATGATTGGCCATCGGCGCAACATGTGACAATCAACTGATTATATTCGTAAATTTAAAATAACTTCATATATATTTTTTCAAATGCCTATTACAGTCAGGGAATTTACCAAAAATGGACATTGAAGATCGCACCTTTTATAGTATAAAGATGTCGATCAGTAGATTCTAGATTTTACGACACATGACATTAACCAATCAAATTGATCAAAAAATTTCATATACGAATAGCTT